CGAGGTTCCACTGTATTACAATATATGAAAGGTGGATGCGCCGGGTATTTTGAAAAACTTAATCTAAAATCTTAATGAAAAGAAAATCAATTTGCATGAAAACTAAACTAATAAAACGTATTAAATATTAAGTATATTTGTTAATTTAAATATTTTACAATTTACATAATTTCAATAAATATATTATTTTATATAATAATTGGTATAATTATAACGCATTTACTTAAGTTAATTAGTATAATTAAGAATCGTCAAAAAGTAGTGGTGTACATTAGTTGTTTCGTACTAAAATTAGATTTGGGAAATTGTTGTTTTTGGGGGGAAATCACGTCGCCAGTAAATTACTCTACATAAAGTTGAGGTGTCATTAAGATGGAAACGGCCCTTGAACCAAATCGTTCCTGATTAGGTAAGTGAGAAATACAAACGGCTCTGGTTATGTAATTACAGTAACAAAATAAAAACGGATTTATGTATAAAGTTTGTTGAATTCTGAATTTTCTTTTCCATAATAAATAAGTTTTGAATGTATTCATAAAAATATATCCATCGATTTCGGTTTATTTATTTAATACTAATATGTAACGTGTAATTTTCTAAAAAAAAATGAGCATATTATCATAATGGACTATGTAGTAATGATAAATGTATTTTTATTGACGGATATTATTGTAATTTGAATCAAACTAAAAAAGTAGATCAGGTTATTGTTTCCTTCACTTTAATTGTATCTTATTTATTTTTGGTCATTATTTTTTTTCTATTACTGTTATTATATTCGATCGATTGATATTACATTTCCTCAATATTATTGCTATGTTCAAATAACAATGATGTTTAATCATATTTATAAACAATAAACGTCAATCTTTGACATATTTAAGTAGACTGAAATAATTGACATATTAACAAATGTCATCAGTAATAAACGTCAGTCTGTCACAAATTTAAGAACGCGGTGACAGTAGACTGAATTAATTGACACATTAACAAATGTCACAAATAATAAACGTCAGTCTGTGACATATTTTACAAATTGGTGGCAGTGGACTGACGTAATAGACACATTAACAAATGTCATCAGTAATAAACGTCAGACTGTGATATATTTAACAACGCGGTGACAATAGACTGAATTATGTCTGTGACATATTTAAGAAAATGGTGACAGTAGACTGAATTAATTGACACATTAACAAATGTCAGTCTGCGACACATTCAACAAAGTGGTGACAGTAGACTGAATTCATTGACATATTAACAAAGGTCATCAATAATAAACGTCAGTCTGTGACATATTTAAAAAGTGGTGACAGTAGTCTGAATTAATAGACACATCAACAAATGTCATCAGTAATAAACGTTAGACTGTGACATATTTACCAACGCGGTGATAGTAGACTGAAATAATTGACACATTATCAAATGTCATCAGTAAAAGAACGTCAGTCTGTGACATACTTAACAACGCGATGACAGTAGGCAGAAATAATTGACACATTAACAAATTTCGTCAGTAATAAACGTCAGTCTGTGACATAATTAACAACGCGGTGACAGTAGACTGAATTAATTGACACATTAACAAATGTCACAAATAATAAACGTCAGTCTGTGACATATTTAACAAAATGGTTAATTCATTGACTCATCAATAAATAAACGTCAGTCTGTGACATAATTAACAACGTGGTGACAGTAGACTGACATAATTGGCACATTAACAAATGTCATCAGTAACAAACGTCATTATGTGACATATGTAACAACGCGGTGACAGAAAACTGAACTTATTGACACATTAACAAATGTTATCAGCAATAAAAGTCAATCTATGTCATATTTAACAATGCGGTGACAGTAGACTAAATTATTCTATTTTATGGGAGAGATTTTGCATTTCCTCAATATTATTGTTATATTCAAATAATATTGATGTTTAATCATATTTTTTATTAAACAAATGTTAATTACCATTATTATTTCAATATTAATATTTTTTTCATTATCAATTGCAGCAGAAATTCTAATGAAAAATAGTATAATTATAGAAATATATCTTTAAAAAAAAATCAAATAATAATTACATAATTTATACAAAAATATTGGAGTCATCTAATGACAACATTAGTATAATAATTATATAATTGAGATATAGAAATAAAGAATACATTATCAATTAATATGAACTGGAATTGTTTTATTTTAAAGATTAATTTTTAAATTGAAGTTTTCTACAAAGTTTTTAACTTTTTTTCAGCATAAAACTTGACTTTTAAAGTTATTTTACAACGTCATTTTTTTTAAGTGAAGAAATAAACTCAAATCTTTATTACGTATTTAATATTGATATTTTCTTGAATAGATTATTTAGAAATTTTGTTACATGTATTTTTTTTAATTTTGTCATCGATTTTTATTCCTGTTAAACAGTATCACTTCATATCGTGTGTGAGTGGTGATATGAAGGACGCCCGTGGGAATCGCGTTCAGTACAATTTTCGAATTGATTGAATAATTCATGAAACCCACACTGTTGCAATTTCATTTCCTTTTTTTTCATATTTTCATTGTGTCGTTTACAATTTCTCACACGGAATTTAATAGTATACTGAATTAATTGACACATTAACAAATGTCATTAATAATAAACGTCAGTCTTTGATATATTTAATGACGTGGTGACATTAGACTAAATGAATTGATACATCAACAAATGTCATTAACAATAAATGTCAGTCTTTGACATATTTAATAACTCAGTGATATTAGACTAAATTAATTGACACATCAACAAATGTCATCAGAAATAAACGTCAGTCTTCAACATATTTAATAACTCAGTGATATTAGACTAAATTAATTGACATATCAACAAATGTCATTAAGAATAAACATAAGACTTTTACATATTTATTGACATAGTTACTTTAGACTTAATTAATTGACACATCAACAAATGACATCAGAAATAAACGTCAGTCTTTGACATATTTAATAACTCAGTGATATTAGACTAAATTAATTGACACATCAACAAATGTCATTAACAATAAACGTAAGTCTTTGACATATTTAATAACATAGTTACTTTATACTTAATTAATTGACACATCAACAAATGTCATCAGAAATAAACGTTTGTCTTTGATAGATTTTACAACTGTAAATTGAATTCATGCACATATCAACAAATGTCATCGCTAATAAAAGTCAGTCTTCGACATATTTAATAACTCAGTGACNTTAGACTTAATTAATTGACACATCAACAATTGTCATCAGAAATAAACGTTTGTCTTTGATATATTTTACAACGCGATGACTGTAAATTGAATTCATGAACATATCAACAAATGTCATCACCAATAAACGTCAGTCTTCGACATATTTAATTAATTGACACATCAACAAATGTCATTAAGAATAAACATCAGTCTTTGACATATTTAATGACTTTGTGACTAAATTAATTGACATGTCAACAAATGTTATTAGCAACAAACGTTAGTTTTTATATATTTTATAAAGCTGTGACTGTAAACTGATTCATGCACATATCAATAAATATCATAAGTAATTCTTTGACATATTTAACGACATGATGACATTAGACTGAATTAATTGACACAGCAATAAATGTCATTAGAAATAATCGTTTATCATTGTTATATTTAACTGAATTTATGCACATATCAATAATTGTCATCATATGCCTTTGACACATTTAGCTACGCGGTGACAATAGACTGAATTAATTGACACATCACCAACTAACACAAGTCTTTGACATATTTAATGACTTTATCATATTACACTGTATTCATGCACACATCAACAAATGTAATAAACATCAAGCTTTGACATGATGACATGACAGTAGACTGAATTAATTGACATATCAACAAAAGCCTTAAATTATGTTACTTTTTGACATATTTAACGATACGATGACAGTGATAATAAAAGAAAAGAGAAGAAGTGGAACTTCGGAAAAGTTTTCCTGTCAAACATGACAGGGCTTTTAGCTTAATTCACGCAGTTGTGCGACCTCATTGATTTTCACGTCGTTTCGTATTTTATTTTTCATGTATGTCACTTAATTGCTGTTGTTCGCTTTAGTGGCTAGTTTTTTTTACTTTGCTTCCTCCTCCTTTGTGCTTGGAAGTTATTAAATTTAATGATCCAAGTCCTTCAAAAAAAAATTGTCTCAAACAAAATGCGTTCTGAAAATAATTTTCCAATAGTATTTATTAAAAAAAACATTAATTACTAAACTTCTAAAGAGTAATTATAAACTTATTAATTTAATCTTAATAATTAATGCATTTGCATAAAATAAAATTATCAAACTTATTGTTTACTTAGATTTTTGCGTGATTATTTTAATTGTAAACTTAAGTTTAATGTGAGTTTGAAACTTAAAGTTATTAACGATAATTTCAGTTTTTATCAAAAGATATTCTAAGAAAATATGCGTTTCTTTTATACGTTTCAACTTATATAAGCAAAGTGAGTTTATTAATGTTAATTTCAGTAATATGTACCAAAAATAGAAATAAATGAAGAGAATCGACCACATTTATCATTTATATAATATTTTATTAATTTATTACATTAGTTTAGTAAAAGTTTTGTGTACAGCGAAGTACAGAAATGTTCTTTAATATTGATTAATAGTCTTTTAATTATGTATACTTGAAACTGTTAATTAAAACAATTAAACTAATTTATTTAATGATTTTCCAAATAAATAATGTTTGTAAACTGTTATTTACGAACCAAGTGGAGGAATCCTTGAATATTCCGATTATCCACGCTGTTTCTTTTCAAATACACAAATTTGAAACGTGTTTACAACAGTTTAGGACTCACTGAATAATAAATTTTTGAATTCAAATGCAATTTACTTTTACATCTCTCAACCAGTGTACGCAAGTAGACTGAAAGGGAATATTTATTGGCACGAAAGTCGTGCAGTTGAAAATGCTCTTGTAAACAATGTGTTGGAGGTAATTGGGGACGTCGTGGGAGGAATTTAAGTTCGATTTGAGTAAGGATCTCACGCGATTTCAACTTACTGTCTTTCACTGTTGTGTTCCTGCGGGAATTCAGCTTGGATTTGTGCGAATTGGGCAACTCGAGTTCGGAGATGTGATCCGCGTAATATCTAGCTGATCTCTGTCTGTTGTCCAATGCGCTTGGATCGGCTCCAGCTGATTTTAACATCTTCTGGATAGAACCTGGATTCTGACACATCGGTGTGTAGTGAAATGCTGTTCTTCCGTCCTAAAACATATATGAAGAATTAGTAAATGGATTGATTTATGATATTAACTTATTATATTAAAATTGAGTTTTATTTTCTAAAATTTTGAATATTATGTAAAGGGTGTCCCAAAACAAACGCAAGATTTAAATTTGCCGCGATTTGTGCAGTAAAGTGTTGGCAACTTCAAACTGCACAAATGGCGGCAAATTCAAATCTTGAGTTAATTTTGGGACATCCTTTATTACGAAAAATAAAAAAAAACAATACAAAAAAAAGAATTAGAAAACGAGAAGTGATTTACAAACTAATTTATATTACTTATTGAATAATGTTTTGTAAAATTTTGAATGTTATGCATATAATACGTATAAATTTCGTTAAATAAAAATCTTGAATATTTTTCAACAAAAAAAATGTAAACTAAAATAATTAATGCAAATATTAATTGGAAATTTTTACAAACGATGAAGACTAATCAAAGTAATAATAGTTTTTTTTTTAATTTTGAATAAAATGTACACAAACTTACATTTTTAGTCAGAAAAACTAATGAAAATGCCTTTTATGAATGCATTTCTTTGTTGGTTGCATTTATCAATGTTAAAATGTCAAAAACAAAATTGAATATTTTGTGCAAATTTACAAAATTTAAATCTTTAATTAAAAATTTGTCAACAAAATTAAAAATTTCATTTTATTGAAAAATAGTTGAAAATAAAAAAAAAAGAAACATTTAATAAATAAATTTTTTAATCGAAATATTCATTGGAAATTTGTAAAATCGATGAAGACTAATTAAAGAAATAATAGTTCCTAAATATCTTGAATAAAATATACACATTTGTCAACAAAACAATTTTTTTTAGTCAGAAAATGTATATTATGAATGCATTTCTTTAGAATCAATGTTAAATTGTCAACAAAACATACATTTTTTAGTCAGAAAATGCATTTCTTTGGTTTCAATGTTAAAATGTTTAAAAATATGAATATTTAATAAAATATTTAATATATAATTTTTAAAGAGAAATTTTATTACAAAAATGACGTTTTGACTTAAGGTGACAGCTATCATTTAGACATGTCAATAAAAAAAATAAGTACTTTTCAAAGTGATTAGAAATAATAATGTTTCAAAAGGAAATATCTAAATTAAGAAGTATTTCTTTGATATTATTAAAAAGTAAAGATAAAAATCATTTAATTTAACAATAATTAATAATAATGATTTAAGACATATTTTCTCAACCAAATTATTTATAGTATGAAATATGACGTTTTGACGCAAGGTCACTTCAAGCTGTCATTGGACTCAGAACCACTGATTTAAGCAATTGTAATTAACATTACTCTGCTAAAAAATGATAATTGAATGTATTAAGCTCACACGAAAAGTAAGCGATAACAAAAATAAGTAAAGTATTTTTCTAAGTAAGTTTTAAATGTAAAATTGTACCAATAAAATGACATACAAAATTTATGTAATTAGATGTTTATTTTTCAAAAAGAAATATCTAAATTTAATTGCAGAAGTATCGATAATTATTTATTAAAGAAATAATAATTTCTAAATATCTTGAATAAAATATACACATTTGTCAACAAAACATACATTTTTTTTAGTTAGAAAATGCTTTTCTTTGGAATCAATGTTAAAATGTTAAAAATATGAACATTTAGTGGAATATGCAGTAGATTTATCAACAAAATTTAAATCTTTAATTACTAAAAAAACAAAAATAATTGTGTATTAATGTCCAATTTATCAACAAAATTAAAAGTTTCATTTTATTGAAAATAATTTAAACTTTTAAAAAATTGGGAAAAATTAATAATAGTTCCTAAAAATCTTGAATAAAATATACTTATTTGTCAACAAAACATAAAATTTTAGTCACATAAACTAAAAAATGTGTAGTATATTTAAGAAAACAATGCTTCAGAATCATTGTTAAAATATTTCCAAAAAATATGAATATTTAATGCAAATTGTAGAGAGAGTTTGTTAATAAAATTTAAATCTTAAAATTAATATAAAAACAAACAATAATCAGTATAATTTTTGTAGAATACGTGTAAAAACGATGTTAAGAAAAATAAATCTCACCAAATATAAAATTTTAATAAAATAGCAAACCGAAACATTGAATAGAAATAATTAATAGAAAATTTATAAAAAAAGATTGTAGCTAATTATTTAATTATGAAAAATGATGTATTTTCTAATGTTATTTGTACTTTAGAAAAGTTATTTGAGAATCACTGCTTTAGAACACAAAGTACAAAAAAAGTTAACATTATGAAAGATAAAACTGGTAAAATCTCCAATTATGAAATAATGCTTGTGAAAAAGAAATATTGCTTATATTTCTCATTAATATATGTTTTAACTAATATACGATTTAAATCAACTAATTAATTTCACATGACAATTTTATTACAAGTTTTGCTTCAATTATTCCATATTTTCATATATTTGCTTAGGTGCGTTTTTTTATTACTTTAGTTGTCACATAAATTTCATATCCCTTTCTTACAGTATCTTTCAACGATGCAGCGCTTGGATAGTTTTTGAGTATCCATTCAGATATGTCCTTCAAATCATAGTATACAGCCTTATGAAGAAGTCCAACACCTGACTCGTCCTTAGCCAAAACCAATTTCTTCCTGTTCTTTTCGTTTTCCTCGTCCAGCAAAGACTGCAGCTCCTCCAATCGACCGCTATTAACAGCGTCGTGCAGCAAACTTATCTTAGACTGCAACAAAAGTAAAAAAAAACAAAGCAAAGAAATCAAACATTTAGCACAAAAAAGAAGAAGAGAGGAATGAACAACGGACGGAAGAAAATCCGCACGCGATCATCATCAGTCGTCATCCATAATTAATAGAGAGAGGTGAACGTGCTTCGGAATTGCATTTTCGCATGTTGACAGTGTACCAACAAGTAATGAAAAATGTATACAACAACAAAAAATAGAGAGAAAGAGGAGAAAACATTTAATTTTCATTTAATATAGTTGAAGTAATTGAAAATTAAAGTTTAAGTTTGTGTTAAAACATATTTTTAATATTTGAAGCATGAACAAGTGAAAAAGTTTAATTTTGAGTCAAAAAATGATTATTAAAATCGATTTAAAATCAAAAATTTGAACTGAATAAAGTATGGAAAATCTATTAAAACAAAAACAGAAATTTTGTTAAATTAATGAAATTATAAACTACATTTGTGTTGTGTTTTGTCGATTTAATTTTGTACAGTAAAATCAATATGTTTTCGTTTAATTTACTCGGATCGAAAATTTGTTTCAATTATTCAGTTTCAGGTTTATTTGAAGCTTCGCGAAGGACGAATTAGCTCATCGATAATTCACTGAAACTCACCATCAAACTGGGAACGGTCTTCAAGAAGCTACGAACTTTGTAATCAGAAGCGTACTCTCCGATCAGTTTCTTGCCTTGACCATCGTACACGATGTTCTCGAGCTTCTCGATGTCCCCGGACCTGATGGCCTGTCTTATATGAGCAGAATTGATCTGAAGAACTAGAAAGAAAAAAACAAATTCAATTATATTTCAAAATAAAAATACAAGTTTATTGATTTGACAGAGTTTCTTTAAACATTTCTTTTCGATTTTTTTTTCTGTTGTTGTTGTTGGTGTGGATTTACTCGTCGAAGAAAAAGCAATTTCGTTCGGTCTTTCTTTGCGTCGGCCTCCGCGGTCTAGACCACTTCACTTTTTAATTGCTTCGACCTATTTTTCCGCCACACACAATGAATTGCATACATCTTTTCTATGGAAGTGGCTCACATCCATCGATCATTATTTTTTTCTCCTAGATAACTCGAATTTTCTTAATTGTTATTTTCGCGTTTATTTGTGATTTTTCCAAGAAAATTTAAAATTCTAGTTACAATTTATAACAAAAAAAAATTAAATCAATAGAAATGCAAATTAATCTATTGTAATTGTTAATAGAAATGGTGTTTATATTTCAAAACTAATTTTTTTTAACTTATTTAGGTCAATTACAGTAAAGATTGTAATTAAAATAAGTAAGTAATTAAGTTAAGAAATTTACCAATAAATTTTGTTATATTTTTTAAAGAGAAATTGTACTACAAAAATGACATTTGACTTAAGGTGACAGCTGTCATTTAGAACTGTAAAAAAATTAAGTATTTTTCAAAGTACTTAGAAATAATTATGTTTCAAGAAGAAATATCTAAATTTAGAAGTATTTCATTGATATTTTTTTAAATAGTAAAGATGAAAATCATTCAAATTAACAATAATTAATAGTAATGATTTAATACATATTTTCTCAACCAAATTGTTTATAATATGAAATATACCGTTTTGACGCAAGGTGAGAGCTGTCACTTCAAGGTGGAATTATTAGTAGGTAGAAATTATTATTTTTCAAGAAGAAATATCCAAATTTAATTATAGAAATATTTCATCAATATTGTTTTAACATTAAAGATGAAAATCATCTAATTTAAGAATAGTTTCTCAACTCAATTGTTTGTAACATAATAAAAAAAACGTTTTAACGCAAAGTGACAGCTGTCATTTCAAGTTGTCATTAGTTAGAGAAACGTCAATTTAAGCAAATTTAATTAAAATTGCTCTTTTAAAAATAAAAGATAATTAAATCTGTTAAGCGCAGACGAAAAGTAAGTGTAAACAAAAACAAATTAAGTAAATTTTAAGTCATCGTTTCTCAACCCAATTGTTTACAACATAAAAAAAATGACATTTTGACGTAAGGTGACAGCTGTCAATTGAAGCATTCATTAAAAATTTAATGCGACCCTTAGTTTTAGAACCGCTGATTTAAGCAATTGTAATTAAAATTACTAATTTAAAAAATGATAATTAAATCAAGTAAGCGTAAACAAAAAAAAATATTACCATTTAGTATTTATAGAATCTTTTATTTTTACATAATATATTTTATATTGATATTATATAAATGAATAAACTAACATTAATGTACTCGATATCTTTTAAATAATATAAATCAAATTATAAATGATTTTAAAAGGCATAAAACTGTCAAAACAAAATTGACATTTCATTGACGTATGCTGTCACATTAAAAATCTGTCAAATCTGTCAATCAAGCGTAGACGAAAAGTGACTAAATTGACCTTTACAAATTAAACAATTTAGTTATTTATTTAATTTATGGCCAAGGTCGTCCGATTATATTATTTTGCGAACGAAAAAAAGAATTTGAACGAAACGTTTAAAGAAAAATAAAATACAAGTACCATTCGTTTGTAACAAAGATTAGGACGTACTTGCACGTAAAGTTTATTTTCATAAACGCTAATATGCATGTAGTTACCGAACAAACAAAAAAGATCGCTAATCTGCTTACAATTCCAAAAATAATGCACAATTAAATGCGTAATTACGTAAACTGTATTATTGCAAAAAAATCGAAATTATTTTATATAATAATTACGTAAACTTTGATCGGTATAAATTTAATAAATTCAGGTACTTGTAATGTTATAAAACATATAATTTATAGTTAATTAATTAGTAAAAAGGTCATTTTTTGGGGTAGATAATTCAGTCATTTAGCGTGCGATAATTGAAAGCTCGCCCTTTCATAAAAAGAACAGTTTATATATCGTCTGCGTGCTCGAAAGGGCTCGTCACCTTCGCCCAAGGGTTCTCCTCATATTAAATTATCTTACCTCTAAATAGCGCACGCAAACTTTGTATATAATGAAAAGGGGGTAAACGAGGAAAGGAAGGAAAGAAAAATAAGAAGGGCGAAGAAAAGGTAAAATAATGGTATAAAGAGAAACGCGCTGCGACACGGAGGGACGTGAATATAAGAGAGAAAGAGAATGGTCGGAAAGTATACAAGAAAATGTAACATAAACTCGTGGACAAACAAAAACATGACGGCTCCACGACCGGCTTAATTACAATACCAACAATATTTCATTGGATTCGATGAATAGAATAATGGTTTATTATTAAGCTTATTTTTAGATGTTGATTAACTGCGATCTCTAATCTAATTAGATTAAAAATATTTTTGTATTTGCTATTTTCTTTTGGACGTAAATAAACACAATTACAATTTGTGTGAAGAAAATAGTTCAATCTTTTATTAATTTTACTTAAAACCAATACATTTTTTAAGTACAATTGAATATTTATTATATAATGATAACTTTTTCTATTAAATATTGCTGAAACATTTGCAAATAAGTTATGAAATCTATATCATATCAAATTAAATGAAAATCCGTAAAAATTAAGGAAATTGTACATTTTATACAGGAAGTTTTTAACTAAAGTATTAAATGTATATATTATTATCTTAAATTTTTAGATTGTTTAATTAATCTGTAATTACGTAAAAATCATTTAATAGTTTTGAGACTGAATGAATTAAATTTCATATTGCAAATATTGATTTTTTTAATTAGTTTGTGAGTAAAATATTATTGAAAAATTTGCAAATAAGCTAACATGTATATATAAAATCGATTCTAGAATAATACCCCATTGGTATTCATCAAAAATTGACAGCGAATTTGACGTAAGTGTCATTTATGTGTCAAACATTGACGTTTATATAATTACAGCATTTCATTTAGACTAATTAGTAGTAATTAGACAACTGTCATTAGAAGTTTAAGCCAATTCATAGATAGCTTATTTGACGTAAGTGTCAAATATTGACGTTTCTAAAATATAATTACAGCATTTAATTTAGGTAATTATTAGTTATTTCATTATAAGCGGTTAATTTTAACTTCAAACAGAAATAATACAGTAAATATTCTATGTATTTTTCAAAGTTATACCAAAAAAAATTCAGAAGAATTGAGTATAATTAGGAATAGATATAATATATTTTCAAGTATAATAATTTAAATTCATTGCAAAAGTATTCCAATAATATTTTTTGAACAGTAATCATCAAATTTAACAATAATTAATAGTAACAATTTAAGTAAGCTTTTCTCAACCTTTTTGCCAGGTAGAGTTTATAACCCAATTGTTTAAAACATAAAAAATGACATTTTGACGCAAGGTAACAGCTGTCATTAAAATTTTAATCCAATACATAGAGGGTAAATTTGACGTACGTGTCATTTATGTGTCAAATATTAACGTTTATAATATATAATTAATACATCTAATTTAGATAATTAGTTACTATTTAGTAATATTGTATGTATTTTTCAATTTACTTTGAAAAAGTGAAATTATACCTATAAAATCATGAACAATTTAGTGTAATTAGGAATAGATATTTTGAAGAATAAAAATCTAAATTCAATTAATTAACAGTAATGAATTAATTCAACATTTGTAACCCTAATTGTTTATAACACGAAAAAAAATGACATTTTGACGCAATATGACAGATGTCATTAAAAATTCAACTCAACCCTTAGGTTGATAAGTTGTTTCGTTATAAGCGGTCAATTTTAACTTTAAACAGAGAAAACCTATATTGTATATTATAATTTCCCTTTTGCGTTGGCTGATGAATTCACGCCTGTCCAATTCCATTTCTACGCGTTTGTCTCTTTGTGTGTAACGGGGTTAAAAGCGTGACATGCAATAAAATCGATCGGGCATCGTGTATTAAATAATTAATTGCCCACCGCCGACTGCGACTGGTTTACACGCCGCGCGAAATAATATATTTATTTGCGTTATTTCCTTCTGTTCCTATTTTTTTCCCTCCATTTATTTATTTATTTGTATGTGCATACATAACATTCCCCGATCCTCACCGACACATGTGTACGCGTCTCGGAACGGGGTTAAAGGTTACATAAGGGTCATTCGCTTATTGTTACCATCGCAGCATTAAACTTTGAATAATTAATACAATGATTCGATTCTTTGTAGCTCCAAGAAAATGACGATACACACGAAATACAAATATATTTTGCTTACTTTGGTATAAGGAGACACCATTCCTTATGTTACCCCGCGCATCCACCAAAATGTTTATTAAATATTCAATAATCGAGGTCTGTCATTTCTTATTGTATACTAATAATATATAAATTCGATAAAATATGGAATTTCTTGTTTCTACATAAAATATTTTACAACTGTTATCAAATCATGAAATAATTTCAATGGAAATTAACATACTGACGTTAATTAACTTATGTAATCATAAATCTATTTTATGAATTATTTAATAAATAACCTATAACTGTCAAAACTAAATTGACATTTCATTGACAGATGTAGTTACATTGAAACATAATAATAACTTACATAACCTTTGTTCACAAATATCTGTCAAATTAAATATACAAATTTTGACAGTATAAAGTAGTAATAATAAGTAAATTTCATAAAATATAGAATCTCTTGTCTCTACATAAAACTGTTAACAAATCATGAAATAAAATCAACGGAAATTAACATACTCACATTAAATAACTACATTATGTAATTTCATTGTCTTTCAAATAATATAAATGAATTTTATGAATTATTTAAAAAATAACTTGAAACTGTCAAAAAATGACATTTCATTGAGATGCAATCAGATTAATATATGTCAAATCAGAATTTGTTAAAGATTTCATAATAGTATTAGTATTTAAGTTGTTTAATACAAATTTTGACAGACGTCATTATATTAAAAATTAACCTAAAACTGTCAAAAGAAAATTGACATTTCATTAACAAATGCAGTTAAAATAATAAGTTGCATAACCTTTACTCACACATATCTGTCAAATTTGATTTTTTTACTCCTTTAATTTTGGTATTAGTATTTAAGTTATTTAATTACACAACTGTTTAAAGACAAATAAATAATAATGAAGAAATTAAGTATACAAATTTTGACAGACGTCATAATATTAAAAATTAACCTAAAAATGTCTAAACAAAATTGACATTTCATTAACAAATGCTGTCACATTAAAATAATAAGTTATATAACCTTTACTCACACATATCTGTTAAATTAGTTTTTTTTAGTCATTTACTAATGGTATTAATATTTAAGTTATTTAATTAAACAAATAAATTATAATAAAGAAATTAAGTATACAAATTTTGACAGACGTAATTATATTAAAAATTAACCTAAAAATGTCAAAACAAAATTGACATTTCATTAACAAATGCTGTCACATTAAAATAATAAGTTATATAACTTTTGCTTACAAATATCTGTCAAATTATTTTTTTACTCATTTAATAATAGCATTAGTAATTATATAACATTAAACAAATATTTAAAGGCAAAAAAATAATAATAAAGAAATTAAGTATACAAAGTTTGATTAATTAATCACAATTAAATTAAATTTTAATATATTGAAAAATTTTCAATGACCTTTCAAATTTTTGATCTGTTTTCAGGCGTTGATGGTAATTAATTGGTGATTAAGCAAAACTAGTTTATGTAATATTAAATGCAAGTCGATGAAAGTTAATTCGAATAATTCATAATTTTAAGTTTTAAAACATGTTAATTATTAAATTATGTTGATTGCAATTATACTAGATTGAATATTATTAAAAACTTGTTTTATATAATTTGATAAAATATTGTATTTTCTATTCGTGGCATGAGGAAAAGTGATTAAGTAATTCAGTATAAAAATTTGCAATCGGGTTCATTTGGACGCGATAAAAGCTGTTACGGTCGTCGCGTTAATTGCATACGTCTCAAAGTAATAAATTACTTACATTCTTTTCGTCTTGTTCCCACATTCTTAATTAGTAATTCAAATTCATTCACCTCTCGGTGGACTTGAGTGCACGTAGAGTCCATTCACTTGCTGACGATGTCCTTTGCGCTGTTTCCTCGGTACAGGCATACTAATGCAATTCCCTTCCAATTTACTCGCCCTTCCTTAATCCCACCTCTGGTTCCACGAAGACCACTAAGTAGTTATCGCTTTAGGTTTTCCTCCCGCATCGAAGCCCTCTTCATATAGTCTGCGATATCAATGAGCCTCGTTACATTCTGCGGGTCTGCGAACATACCAAACATAACACATGTCTATCATAACAACACCTTTATACTCAAACTATTACTAACTAATACAAACATCGCGAATGATGCGTGTGCTTATGGACGCGTGCAAAATCCACTTTTCCACTCAAGATTGTGTCACTTTTAATCAACAATTCATACTTTGTTGTTACCCAGGATACGAATAACCAAACAACCGTTGCTGAGTAAAACATTTTAAATTCGATAAAACATGGAATCTCTTGTTTCTACATAAAACTGTTATCAAATCATGATAACCTAAAACTGTCAAAATAAAATTGACATTTCATTGACGTAAAATGTGGATTGTTTCTACATAAAATATTTTGCAACTGTTATCAAATCATGAAATAATTTATTTTATGAATTATTTAATAAATAACCTATAACTGTCAAAACTAAATTGACATTTCATTGACAGATGTAGTTACATTGAAACATGATAATAACTTACATAACCTTTGTTCACAAATATCTGTCAAATTAGAATTGTTTACTCATTTTCAAAATTTTAAAGACAAATAAATAATAATGAAGAAATTAAGTACATAAAACTGTTATCAAATCTTTAAATAAAATCAATTGAAATTAACATACTCACATTAATTAACTACACCTTTTAATTTCAATGTCTTTTAAATAATATAAATCAATTTTATGAATTATTTAAAAAATAAATTGAAACTGTCAAAAAAATGTCATTTAATTGACGGATGCAGTTAGATTAATATCTGTCAAATCAGAATTTGTTACGCATTTTATAATAGTATTAGTATTTAAGTTATTTAATTAAAAAAAATATTTAAAAACAAATAAATAATAATGAAGAAATTAAGTATACAAATTTTGACAGATATAATTATATTATAAATTAACCTAAAACTGTCAAAACAAAATTTACATTTTATTAACAAATGCAGTCACATTAAAATTATAAGTTGCATAACTTTTACTCACACATATCTGTCAAATTAGATTTTTTTACCCATTTAATAACCGTTGCTGAGTAAAATATTTTAAATTCTATAAAATATGGAATCTCTTGTTTCTACATAAAACTGTTATTAAATCATGATAACTTAAAACTGTCAAAATAAAATTGACATTTCATTGACGTATGCACACATTAAATTGATAAGTTAAATAACTTTATCTAACAAATCAGCATTTAACAACAATTGAACTTTTTCGATTGATTTACTAATTTATTACTTAATTAAAAATTGAAGATTAATTATTTAGATCGATATACATTGATGATTTGAAAATTATCATTCGTTTTTTTTGATAAATTTGTCATTGTCAAATGTCATTCGAATCAAAATTAAACAATTATCTCTAAACGAATAAAATTTATGCTATTATTAATGAAAAATAATGAATAATGATTACTTTTTTTTTCAAATAAATGGAAAAAGAAATTTCTTTGTAAAAATTTTAAATAAAAATAATTCGAAAATTTTCTATCTGTCAATATTAAGAAAAGTGGACAAAAATACACTGATAAAATAATTTAATATATTTTCTGAAAATAGTTGTTTTTCCAATATGATTAAAATATTTTATTAAATTCGTAAAGACACAAAGATGAGAAAATTCTATAATATTTCACAACCTTCTGAAGTGTAGTGAACATAAAAAATATTTAATCAAATTTAATTTTTAATTTCTTTTTTCTTTAGATAGAAACACAATTTAATTAACATGGACTACAACAAAATTTTGAGTTGTATATTTTTTTTTAATATTAATTTTTTTAATATCAAACATTGAAAAAATATTATTGTTAAGTAGGTACAAACATTAAGAAACTATAAATATGTTTGTCAACCTGAAGTGTTCACAATATATACTTTAATTATAACAAAATATACATATTTTTATATTTCTGTTATTAATATCTTATTTATTAATTAGTAAAGCTTAATTAAAGTAAATTAATATACTAATATATTTTTATAATTAATTTGTTTCAAGATTATCTTACATAAATGAAACAACTATACTAATTATATAATGTCACTTTTAATCAACAATTCATGTTGTTAACCAGGATACCAATAACCAAACAACTGTTGCTATGCAAAATATTATTTTTTTTTAATTCTATTTAATTTCGTACAAAAAATTGACGAAACTTTATATTATAGAATATTTTAATATTATATTTAATAAAAACGGATATTGTGTGTGCGTACGGGGAAAAGTCGTAATAATAATCGTATAAACGCGGTATCGTGTGTGGGCGTATGCTAATCAAACACATTACACAGGTTATAAAAATATTATTATGGATATTGTGTGTGAGTGAAAAGCTCGCTGATTTACCATTCAGATATTGAGTACATGCTTAATTAATTGAAAGAATTTAATTTGAATTGATAGTTTTTCTTAAGTCAAATTGGGTTACAAACAGTAAATTACATTTTTTTTTAATAATGTATTATTCTTTTAATATAATTAATTATACAAAATTTATTATCGATAAAATTGATGATTTGTAATTAATAATTTGTTTCATTTAATAAATCTGTCTTTGTCAAATATCTGTCTTTCTAAACAAAATTTAAATAGGTTTAATGATAAAACTAAAGTTATTATCAATGTAAAATAGTTATATCTAAGTTATAATCTAACATTTAAAATTTATATTAATTTTTTCTATGTACCAATGTCTTTATTTGATTGTATATTAACTATCGCTGTTGTCAACAGTGAAGTTACATATAAATCCTCATTATTTTGAAAGAAGAATTCTAGGTATTCTTTGGTAAAATAAGTATAAAGTGCGGTGTAAATCATATATCGAATGTGCAACCAAAAGATTCCCCGAAATCTTAGAATTCTGATTGCAAATGCTCAATCTAATGAAAAAGAAGAGTTGTTTTTTTTTGTTGACCAAAGAAAACAGCAACGTTTTATGACATATGCAAAAGACAAAATTGTCCTATTTGCTAAAAAAAAATGTTTTGAGCAATAAAATCATTTTCAAATGTTGTTAACTTCATTAAATAATAATTTGTTAATTTAACTGTCCTTAGTAGTTACTGATTAAAAAACACTTCTTGTGTGTAGAGAATAGAAAATATTTAACGAAATTTAATTAGATTTTTTAGACAGAAAAACGATTTGGTCAAATTTACAAATAAATAAAAGAATTGAAATTTTAAAGCTTACAATATTTCTCTAAATATTATCCTATAAATTATTGTAAATAATTAGGGAAAAAATAACTATTTTGAATATAGAAGATTTTCACAATAAATTTATTTTTTTTTAATAATTTCTTTAATAAATTGCAAATACTTTTTTTGATTATCTCACACAAAATAACAATAATATTTCTATAAATTAATATTTAAAGTTAAGAATACAAAAATTGTAATTAGATAGATATAAGTTTTCTAACTTAGAAAAATTTGTGTCGTAAAGTACATTTAATTTCAAAATTCGTCATCTTTTATAAGAGAATATACAAATTGCAGTTTGGATTGAATAAGAAACACTTATTTATAATTATTATCAATTAGTGTAAGAAATAATTGTAACACTAGATCATTTTATTGTAAATAAATTTGTGAAAAAAAAAATGTAAATTTAGTCTTTACATTATTATATTAAGTTTTATTTACACCTATTCCCCGATTTACACGGTATATAGATGAAAAACTTGTAAATTGAAATTGCAACTTTTTGAATATAAAACCGCATAAATCGAAAATTATGCAAACCATTTTCAACTTTTTTTTAACCGTGTAAAAGCAAAAACGTGTAAAGAAAGTACCGTGTACAACAAGGGATAGGTGTATTTATAGTTAATTTAAGTATTTCAAAGTGTCTTGTAATTTGCTGGTGGTATATAAATAAAATTTTGAAAGAAAAGATGAAACGATTTCGTAACGTGTAATAAATACAAATCGATTGACAATAAATTATTTAAATATCGTCAGATAGAAGTGCTCATTACAAAAGAAAAGTAGAGAGAAAAAAAAAGTGGATCATGCTATTCGTCCATCAATTGAATAATGAAAACTCTATGGAGAAACTTCGTGAAGTTGAAGGAAAATTCATAATCATTATGATAAAACGTGCATGAATTATTAAAATTCGGGCGGGAAATTCGAATCGATTTCTTACGCATGCATTAATTTTCGGATCGGCTGAATAATTCAACTTCACTTTCTTCAGCAGCAGCAGCAGCACACACATACACAACACTCGCGAGATTCTTTCTTCCGGAGGGAGAGCAGCACGTGCCGCTACGTCTGCTGATGTTTGTGGGCGTCGCGACGCGCGGTTAGTTTATGTATGTGTGTTGTTTTGTTGAGCCACCCCATAGGATATTAGGGGGTGGCAAAAGCCAACGCTCGTGGCGGGGGCGCAAGTTGGTTTAACCAATCCCGCCTCTTCGTACCCTCCTCATCAAAGCTCGCCTCCGTTTACAACAATTGTTGTGTTTCCTCGACAATGGTTTGACCTTATTGCGGTCTAATTTCATTCAAATATTGATTAAGAATCGACTCGCTTATATATATTATTTTTTGCGATCCACCCCTTGTCTCTTTGCTCTTGTGATCCATTGCATTTGTTTTGTTTTTTTCAAAGACATTTGCATACGCGCAAAAAGGGACCTAAAAGATCATCGTATGCTATGCTAATCAATTAAAATGAATGTCGTCGCATTTGCATTGCAAAGCTCTTAACTGCAAATTCACCATCAAAAAACTTCTGTTTTTTTTTTGTCGAATTCGTCAACCCTCAAGTTACGACTTCCTCGCGACAAAATGATATGCGAAAATTAAATTGGAAACATGCACGGTTTATAAATATTCATCTAGTTACAAAAAAATATAAATGAAGATATAATCCATTTGCGCACTAATTCTTTCATTTAACTCGCATCTATTTTACATAATCACATAGAATTAACCAAAACTGAGAAAGTCTTTTATGTTTTATAATTTTTTTTCATGCATTTTAAGAATTATATTATAACACTCAATAATAACTAAATAATAACTCAAATAATAGATCTGGATGTTTAGTTAAGTTTTCTTATTAAAGATTTTGACATGCAG